GTGTATGATGAGTGGTGTATGATGAGTGGTGTATGATGAGTGGTGTATGATGAATGGTGTATGATGAGTGGTGTACGATGAGTGGTGTATGATGAGTGTTGTATGATGAGTGGTGTATGATGAGTGATGTATAGTGGTGTATGATGCGTGGTGTATGATGAGTGGTGTATGATGAGTAATGTAAATTTTTGTAACACGGAAGTTCCTTCTAAACTTCCTTTGACCATAGAAGGTTCCATGGCAGGCATTGATCTTAGCCCTCGTATAGTCCGTACCAATGTGTCAAAGATAAGAAAGGATTTTTATCCGATAGAAGATGTTGACATCCGTCGAGATGCTTCAGGCACTCTGATGACTGCAGACGCTGAACAGGTTTCACCCCCTGGCCATTCTTTTCTCGAATTCCACTGGCAACCAGTTAGCAAAGGCAAGATCGATTTCCTAGAGCTATTCAGTGGTTCAGCTAGACTCAGCCACGCAGCCGCTCTAGTGGGACTCAGAGTAGGACCGCCAATTGATCTGCGGACTGGGTTCGATATCCTAACTTCCGAAGGAAGAGAAAGAACCATGAGCGTGATAAACACTCAGCGTCCTGAAGTCATTTTTATGGCACCACATTGCGCACCATGGTCACAGATGAGCAATATCAATGATAGAGCAACTCGTGAAGGGAAGCGCAAACGCTACTATCCAATGCTAGAGTTTTGCGCGCAGGTTGCTGTTTATCAAATTGCCCATCGCAGGAAGTTCATTATTGAGAATCCTGCTGGATCCATGTTATGGTGGACTAAGTCTTTCAACAACTTGCTATCCAAACAAAGCGTCAAGTGGTCCACACTGCACATGTGTGCTTTCGGAACGCGCGATCCTAGTGGATATTACTATTACAAGCCAACTAGTCTGATGCATAGCTTTGCAGAAGGTGTGCTGGATCCCGTTTTTAAGGTTTGTCCACTGAAGAAGGCAAGAGCCTCGGGGGTGAACCGTACTAACGGTAACCGCAAACACCAGATGCTTGAAGGAAATGCAGCTGGCTACGGACCTCGCACAAAGCTCGCGCAAGTATATCCTTATGCATTTTGTCACGCTATAATTCGTTGCATTCTTCCATTAGGAAATTGCAATTGTTTGCCAACTGCTGAATCATTTTTTCTTGAAGACATAACAGACAATATTGTATCACACGATGAACTGAAGTCACTTGTCTTGCTTGGTCAAGATGATTTTGAATTCACGCTCTTCTCAGATGAGAAAGCTTTTTCAGTGCATGTTGCGCACAGAACCGCACTACCGGTTACGCATTTGTTTGCTGACCCCGCAATAGCCGTAAGCAATCATGAGATAAGAGAAGCTATGAATCATCTTACTCGTGCGCCAAACGGTACTGAAACGTTGCCGGGTAGCGAATCCTTCGTCAGTTCTTTGTTCCGACACTTAGGTTTCAATATGCTTCTGTGTGAAAGGTACAAATTTGGTCATCTCAGCACCATGTACAAGAACAAGCCTGGTGTAGTTCTTGTGTGGAACAAGAACAATTTCTCCAAGGTCCATGTAATGGATCATCAACGTGTAGCTTTGGACAAGCTCAATCCACAGCACTGGACGACAGTATTTTACTGGAATGACAGTGGCAAGATGCCTCCACGACCACAGGCGCCAGCAGACAATCCAGTGGCAATGATGGACCTCAGTGATCCACCAGGACAACCTCCACATCCTGGTCTCGGATCCGAATGAAGATGCTGATATGGATGATCAGATGAATGATGCACCGGGCCCGGGTGAGGATGATATCGACATGCCAGCATTGGAACCTATTCAACCTACACCTCCTGCACCTCCAACGCCACCTGGACCAGCACCAACTGTTCCACACACTGGTCCACAGATATTTGACATATCAACACCACCGGCATCAGACCATGAGATGCCCAGCACTCCACCGCCTCATCCACTGACAACACCTTTTGTGTCACCGCAGTGGGAAGAAGCTGCGAATCACACTTACGATGAGTGCTCTGTGGAGCTGGCTTTAAGAGATGCGCGGTGAGCATTAGCACGTTAGGTTACTGCGTTAGCCAATGAATACTTAGCCCTTGGCTTGAAGGAACCGCAAGAATGCATAGTCAGTCAAACAGAATGTTTCAACAAGCTTGAAATGAATCGAATTGAATTGATAAATTGGCAGGTACGCCAGGATGGCCAATCCTGGTATCCCGTGTTCAGACTAGCTTCGTTGGGCGCAGTCATCTGAACACGCTACGCCCCCCTGCTGCTGGAATCTGTACAGGAAGACAGTGGGATAGAATAGAGTAGAGTAGTGCCCCTCGAAACGGGGTTTGACACACGCGCACTTATAGACATGCGTACTGACTTGAAAGCGGTCGCCACACGCCGGCCTGAGTTAAAAAACTTGAAATACCAGGAGGGCAAGTAGTAAGTTAAAGGCCATCGCTTTCAGGTTGGAGGCCATCGGAAGGATGTTGGAGGCCAACACGTAAGGTTGGAGGCCGTCGCTAGTAGGTGGTAAGTAGTATGCGCAAGCCAAAAAAGTGACAAGTAGTAAGTTAAAGGCCATCGTTTTTGGGGTTAAGGCCATCGCAAGGAAGTTGGGGCCAACGCCTAAGGTTGGAGGCCGTCGCTAGTAGGTGGTAGGTAGTATGCGCAAGGAAAACAAAAGTGACAAGTAGTAAGTTAAAGGCCATCGTTTTAAGGTTGGAGGCCATTGCAAGGAAGTTGGAGGCCAACGCCTAAGGTTGGAGGCCGTTGCTAGTGGGTGGTAGATAGTATGCACAAGCAAAACAAGAGTGACAAGTAGTAAGTTAAGGCCATCGCTTTTAGGTTGGAGGCCATCGCAAGGAAGTTGGAGGCCAACGCCGAAGGTTGGAGGCCGTCGCTAAGTAGGTGGTAGGTAGTATGCACAAGCAAAACAAAAGTGACAGCGAGCAGAAAGGTTGGAGGTTGTCGCTAGTGGGTTGGAGGCCATAGTACCAGGTTGGAGGCCAGCGCTACAAGTTCAAAACAACAAGCAGGTACACATCAAGGCGTCCCTTGACGCTTCCCCTGTCACATCCCAGCTTCGTTGGGCCAGGTAGGATGTGACAGGCCTGGCCCCCCTGCTTAACACACGACCCCCCGAGGGGAGGCGAGAAGCGCTAAGGTCAGGGCAAAGGTGTAAGTGCGCGCGCAACAAGACAAAAGAATGAAGACATGGGGACCAGACGGGACAAAGGTGTGTGCGGTTGCGATGAAAGGGAACCAAGCGCACAGGGACAACCAATGAAAACCCGCCTAATTATAAAGACCTGGGCAACCTGAAACCTAGGTTGAAGTAGGTTGTGCACGTACACACGAAGGCCGGGACTCATGTGCGTGCCAACGAAAGAAAGGATGAGATGACCAGACATGAAGACAGGAGGACATGAAAGAAAAGAAGTGTAAAGGGTGAAAAGGATGAAAAGGGAACCGATGAAGCCACACCTCATTAGAGAACCTATGCAAAGCTGGTTGAAAATGTGCACCTGAGGTGGCGACGGGTCGCAATGGACCCAAAAAATGCTTCGGCCGGTGTGGCCACGTACGCCGTGCCAAAATGGCTGGCAGCTTTGACCGTTCCGGTCACCTAATGGCTTGCTCGAAAGCTGCCTACTTGTATTCAATAAATCAGCAAGTCTTGGCAAATAACTTTGGCACAAGCCTACCCCGCCCGCTGTGGGCACACGCGTTTCCAAAGCAAGGGAAACAGCGACAAACCCCCGTTCGACGGGTCCACAGGGGCCACTCCTCGGGGCACCCCGGGCTCTCACGAGGAGAGACACACTTATAGAAATGCATACTGACTTGAAAGCGGTTGCCACACGCCGGCCTGAGCCAAAAAACTTGAGATACCAGGAGGGCAAGTAGTAAGTTAAAGGCCATCGCTTTTAGGTTGGAGGCCATCGGAAGGATGTTGGAGGCCAACGCCTAAGGTTGGAGGCCGTCGCTAGTAGGTGGTAGGTAGTA